ATTATTAGAGACACTAATAAAATTTAGAATAGTATATACTATGCTTCCTATACTTCCTAGATTATAATATTTTTTTTTTTATTTTACTTTTTTAGTAGGAGTCATATTCCTCTACTTATTCTTCTTTACTAGAGTTTATACTATTGTTAGATAGAAAGATATATAGCTAGGCTTAATAAGAGAAAAGATATAATAGTAAAGTAAGTACAGGGGTAAGATGAGATATATTTAATATAAAAAGTAGAAGAGTAAAAGACTTAGAAAATAAGTAATAAGAAATAAAGAAATAAAATATATATTAGAATAGATAAATATATATATAGTAGACTAAAGTTAAATAATAATATAGGTAATACTTAAAAATAAAATTATTTATTATCTCCTAGCTTTAAAATTAGCTACTAACGTAGTAGTATTATTTAATAATTCTATTTATATCTATTAATTCTACTTAGTATCTTAACTTAATTATTTTATTAGATACTATAGTTATCTTTTATCCTTTAAGTAATCCTTCTTTAGAAAGATCTTATATTTATTAATTATCTTCTTAAGTTCCTATAACTTTCTATTAGTATTAGCTTTTATATTAATAGGTTTAGACTAAGGAGGTTATCTCTTAAAAGGATTATTAATATAATATTTTTTAAGATAAGTAACTAATACTATAAGATATATTCTCTAGTTAATAGGAAAGTATAGCCTATAAGTAAGAGGACTTATATACTTTATTATCTTAAATAGCTTAATATATTAATTTCTAAGTTTATAACTTATTATGAACTATATATTATATCCTATATATAGCTTAAGTAATACCTTCTTATTCTTATAGAAAGTAATTAGTTTATATTACTTATTATACTAGTTTTTTAAAGTAATTATAGTAAATCTTAGTACCTTAGTAGCTAGTACTTAGCTAGTAAAAGAGTAAGTAATCTTATTAGTAATATTAATATTTAATATAGTAAATAGTTTAAATCTATATATTAGTTTATATAGTATGGCCTTAATTAATATGTTATATATAGAGTTAAATATTTATTAAAGATATAATAGGATAGAAGGCTATTAGTATATATTATTAAGAGAGGTACTTATATATTAATAATATATTTTAATAATTTAATTTATTCTTTTACTCTAGTTATTTATTTAAGTATAATAGGCTATTAAAAAGTATTACTTTATCTTATAAGACTTATAGAATATATATTAAAGTTCTAAAGTAAATTTTATATATTTATTAAATATAATAACTTTAGGTAACCCCTAATCACCGTTATCTAGTAAAGTTAGTAAGCTTAAAGCTTATTATTATATTATCTAGTCTATTCTCCCTCTCCCTAGTATTATAGTTATTTACTTAGTAAATTTATTTATTATACTTATAATAGTACTAAAATATCCTATATCCAATATAGTAATAATAATATTAATTATAATTATATAAAATAGAATACTCAGAGTAAGTATAGGTTCTAATATACTATATAGGTTATATCTATATATATACTCTTTTTCTGAGATTCTAGATAATATTTTATATATTAATCTATCTAGTACTTTAATCTATAGAATATAATATCTTAGAGTAGTTCTATTATTCTATTAATACTAGGATATCTCTTATTATATATATTATATAGTATTTCCTTTAGTAAAATATATAGTACATATAGTATGCCATTATTTATATATAGCAGATTATCTTTTAAGTAGAAAGGTAATTAAATTAGTACTAAAGAAGAATAATTCTTTTATAGAGCCTAGATAATTATACTCTGCTTTATATCAAATATATAACTACTAATAATCTTATTATAAAAGTCATTAGATATTTAAATAGCCAGGATTATTGTATATAACTCCTCTATTAGTTAATCTATACTAAGTATAGAAACTAATAAAATTTGAGTTTTCCTATAGCTATTCTATTTATTATATAAAATACTATATAGTAGTGGTAGTAGATACTTATAAGTAAATCTAGTTATCTAGTACAGTAGCTACTTTTTATTCTAGAATAAGAAATTAAATTTTAGTATAGATATCCTAATTAATGTCCTATATAGTTCCATGCCTGGATTTAATAAAAGATAAGAGCTATTATACTAATAACTCTGCTAATAGTATCTCTACTAATATTAATTAAATATATAATAAATTAAATAACTACATGATAGTGACACCCCTAGAATTAACAAAATAATAAAAATACTAGAAACTAAGAGGGAGAAACTAATAATGACAGCTTAACTACTAAAAAGCTAGTAGATATCCTACAGACTAAGTAAATATAATAACTACTTTATATAGTAGGATAATTAAAATTTTGGTTATGCCAGTGAGATTAATCTAATTAAAATTTTAAATATTAATTTAGTCCTAGAAACCAGGACATGCTACTAATTTAGTAAACCTAATGATATGATTATATAAGGATGTAGGAAGATGGTTGATTCCTTCCTCTTCTTTAGTGAGGTGAAGGAGTATCTACCTATCTTCTATCTTGATATCTTATCCTGTTATGATATGACATTTACTATCCTTAAAAGCTTTTATTAATTAGTTAATAAGGGCCTTCTTCTCTATTAACTTCTTTCTTTTCCTAAATTAGGTTTACTCTTTATATATAGCTATTAATAGGTGATATCTCTATATTAAAAATATATATTACTTTTTTAATACTAAGGTTCCATCTAAGACTCTTTTTTTAATATTTATTTAAAAAGATAATTATTATAGTTAAGTTTATTTTATAATATTCTTATTTCTCATTATTATAAGTAATTATAAATTACTCTTAAGTTTCTAAGCTAAGGA